TTGTATCTACATATGGCTCGATGGTGACAAAAGAGGTGGTCCACGGTGGTGAATGGGAAGAGCTATGGTGGGTCGGTTGTGGCTATGGGTCTTCGGCTAAGGTTTGGAAAAAGAAACAAAGGTTCTAAAAAATCTAAAACAAAATTTTGAACCAATGGTGGCGCAAATTGCTTGAAGTTACAGAAACTTTCATTCAGTGGCGCAAAATACGCGAGAATTGGTTCGAGGCACGAACGGTATTTTCTTTCTTCGCGCAAAAGGTGCTTTTTGGCTCCAATCTACAGAAACTTGGAATTGTTGGCGCCTTTTGCGCCACTTTGATGCTTCTTGCGCCTTTGTTAATTTTCTAACCATTTTTCTTCTCACTTTCCTCTTACTCAGTCATCTCAAATTAAATTCTATACCAAAATTTTCCATCTCTTAGTCAAAAAAAAAATTCAAATAAATAAATAAACTAACAAAAACAATAAAATAAAAATAAAATAAAAACTAATAGAATAAAAACAAAATAATATAAAAAAATTGAAAAACTTATTGGGTTGCCTCTCAATTAGCGCTTGTTTTACGTCCCGAGCCTAACATGAGTAATCTAATCCTTAGGTGAAGAGAGAGGAACAGATATCTGGTCCTTGTCAATCTGTCCTCCATGATACAGCTTTAACCTGCAACCATTAACCTTAAAAGGATCATCAATACCAATTGGAGAAATTTCAACAGTACCATATGGAAATACTTGTTTTATGACAAAGGGTCCTGACCAGCAAGACCTGAGCTTACCTGGGAACAACTTCAGCCGAGAATTATAGAGTAATACTTGTTGTCCCGGCTCAAAATCTTTCAGGATAATCCTCTTATCATGCCACTTCTTTGTCTTCTGCTTGTAAATTTTAGCATTCTCATATGCAGCCAACCTAAACTCATTAAGCTCATTTAATTGCAAAAGTCTTTTCTCATTAGCAGTTTTCACATCAAAATTAAGGAATTTAGTTGCCCACATAGCTTTATGTTCTAATTCTACAGGAAGGTGACAAGACTTACCGTACACCAGTTGGAATGGTTACATACCTATTGGGGTCTTAAAGGTTGTCCGGTATGCCCAAAGCGCATCATCAAGGTTCTTTGACCAGTCCTTCCTTGAATTTCCCACAGTCTTCTCTAGGATTTGCTTCAGCTCCCTATTTGAAATCTCACCTTGTCCACTTGTCTGCGGATGATAAGGTGTCGCCACATTATGATTAACTCCATACTTAGCAAGTAGACTCTGAAACTGCTTGTTGCAGAAGTGGGATCCTCCATCGCTTGTGATAGCTCGTGGAACTCCAAATCTGGTGAATATGTTCTTTCGTAAGAAAGACAACCACTTTAGCATTGTTTTTCGGAAGAGCCGCAGCTTCCACTCACTTTGACACGTAGTCTACAGCCACCAAGATGTACTGATTAGAGCAAGAGCTGGGAAAGGATCCCATAAAATCTATGCCCCAAACATCAAATATTTCTATTTCTAGAATGCTATTCAAGGGCATATCATTTCTGCTTGAGATGATCCCAGTTCTTTGGCATCTGTCTCATCTCTCCACGAAAATTCGAGCATCCTTGAATATGGTGGGCCAATAGAATCCACTATGTAAGACCTTCTGAGCAGTACGATTTCCAGCGAAGTGTCCTCCGTAATCTGAACCATGACAATGCCATTATATGTTTTCCACTTCTTCTTCAGGTACACATCTTCGCATCATTCCATCAGTACAAACAAAGTAAAGGAAAGGATCATCCCACAAATATCTCCTTGCATCATAAAGAAATTTCTTTGTTTGCTGCCGAGTAAGTCCTTGGGGAATTGATCCTACAGCTCTATAATTAGCAAAATTCGCAAACCATGGTAGGCGGATAACTCCCATTACTTATTCATCTGGAAACACATCTTGATCTCTATTTCAGTTCCATCTTGTAGCTCCTTGACTTGAATTCGGGATAGGTGGTCAGCTACTAAATTCTCCACGCCTTTCTTGTCCCAAATCTCTAATTCAAATTCCTAAAATAACAACATCCAACGTAGCAAATGTGGCTTGGCATCCTGCTTATTCAAAAGATGCTTCAAGGCAACATGGTCAATAAAAACAATAACTTTGGACCCAATCAGATAAGATCTAAATTTTTCTAATGCATAAACTATAGCTAGCATCTCTTTTTCAGTAGTGGCATAATTAACTTGTGCTTCATTTAAAACTTTACTAGCATAGTATATAACATGTAACAACTTATCCTTACGCTACCAGAGAACTGCTCCAACATCATATGCGCTTGCATCGCACATGAGCTCGAATGGAAGGTTCCAATCAGGTGCCGTCAAGACCGGTGCGGTAGTCAGCTTCTTCTTTAAAAGATTGAAAGCTATTAGGCAGGCATCATCAAATATAAATTCAGCATCCTTGACCAAAAGTTGATTCAGTGGTTTGGCAATTTTGGAGAAATCTTTGATGAACCTCCTGAAAAAACCTGCATGTCTAAGAAAACTACGAACACTGTTAACATTAGTGGGAGGGGGAAGCTTTTCAATAATCAATAGCTTAGCCTTATCCACTTCAATTCCTTTTTCAGAAATACGGTGTCCTAGAACTATGCCATCCCTTACCATAAAATGGCATTTCTCCTAATTTAAAACTAAATTAGTTTCTTGACAACGCTGCAAAACACAAGAGAGGTTAGCCAAACACGAATCAAAAGAATTACCAAAGACAGAAAAATCATCCATAAATACCTCAATGATTTTTTCTACCATGTCAGAGAATATGGAGAGCATGCACCTTTGAAATGTGGCTGAGGCATTGCATAATACGAATGGCATTCTCCTATACGCAAATATACCAAATGGACATGTGAACACAGTTTTCTCTTGATCCTCTGGTGCAACTGCAATCTGATTGTACCCCGAGTAACCATCCAAGAAGCAATAATATGAATACCTAGCTAATCTTTCAAGCATCTGATCCATGAACGGAAGAGGGAAGTGATCCTTTCTTGTAGCGGCATTGAGCCTTCGATAATCGACGCACATCCTCCATCCCGTTATTGTCCTTATTGGGATCAACTCATTGTTTTTATTTTGCACTACTGTTACTCCACCTTTCTTTGGCACTGTTTGCACTGGACTCACTCATGCACTGTCTGAAATAGGGTAAATCATACCAGCATCTAGAAGTTTGACTACTTCCTTTCTAACCACTTCTTTCATGGTTGGATTCAATCTCATTTGTGGTTGACAAACTGGCTTCACATCGTCTGTCATCAGAATCTTGTGAGTGTAAAAAGAAGGGCTGACTCCTCTCAAGTCAGAGAATAACCAGCCAATTGCAGACTTATGTTTCTGCAACATGTTCACAAGCTTTGTTTCTTCTTCGAGAGATAAATTTTTATTGATAATCACTAGATATGTATCGTTTTCTCCCAAGAATACATACTTCAAGTTTGCAGGAAGTTCTTCCAACTCCAACTTAGGACTAGCTACAGACTTATCTTCAAGTTTCCTAGTCATCTCAACTAACTCTTCTTCTAGTGCATTTAAAACATAAGTTGAGTCGATGGCTTTAACTACCTCAGTAAGCAAATCATCATTCAGTAGTTCTGATGACTGTAGGATTTTTGCAAACTGATCTTCAATGGTAAAAGGATTTGCTTCCTGAAAAATATTTTCCAACACTGCTTCTTCTATTACATCAATTTGGAAGCAATGTCCTCTATCATCAGGATGTTTCATTGATTCAAACACATTAACTTTGAATTCACCATCATTGACTCTAAATATCAATTAATGTCCTAGCAGTTGCTAAGAACGGTCTCCCAAAGATGAGAGGCATATTATCATCTTCTTCCATACTAAGTACAACAAAATCAGCTGGAAAAATATAATCATTTACCTTTACGAGGACATCTTCCAGCACTCCTTCTGGCATCTTGATGGATCGATCAGAAAATTAGAGAGACATCAAGGTAGATTTCATCTCTGTAATCCCCAAAGATTGTGCAAAAGATAGTGACATCAAGTTGACACTAGCTCCCAGATCACATAGAGCTCTCCCTACTTTAACATTCGCGATCGTACAAGAGATACTGAACCTCCCCGAATCTTTTACTTTAGACGGTAATCTCTTCTTGATCACAACACTACTCTCTTCGGTTAAAGCTACTATTTCTATCTCTCTGAGTTTATGCCTGTTTGACAAAATACCATTCATGAATTTTGTATAAAGAGGCATGTTCTCCAGAGCTTCGGAGAATGGAATGTTGATCTGCAGCTTTTAAAACATCTCCATAAACTTTGAATATTGCTGCTTCTCTTTATCTTGCTTTTGCCGAAGAGGGTATGGAGCTTTTGCATAAGGATCTGGTTGACTGAATCCTGATGGTAATTTGTTTGTATTTTTCTTATTACGATTAATTGCTTCCTTTGCTACCTTGACCGGCTTTTCTTGAGCTTCAATCACCTTCCCACTCCGAGTAGTGATAGCATTACAATGCTCTCATGAATTTATTGCAGTGTCACTAGGCATTGTCCCCGGAGTTCTTTCATTCAATTGCTTGGCCAACTGTCCGATCTGAGTTTCAAGATTTCGGATTGAAGCCTCCTGGTTCTTGATCGATGCTTCTTGAGTTTTGAAGTTTGATCTTGTCTCTTGAATGAAAGCATTGGTGGTTGCAGCCATGGTTTCCACCAGTTTCTCCAAAGCTAAGGATGTACTAGGTTGTACAGCCATCTGTGATTGTTGTGGCTGCTGAGGTTTGTAGGAGAGAAGGTTTGAGTTATTCCTCCAACCCGTGTTGTTGCTACCTTGGTAATTGTTCCTCTGCTGGTTTCCTATATAGTTGACTTCTGAAGGTTGGGCTAGCGGACAATTCGCAGCCAAATGTCCTTCCGCACAAATGTCACACACTACTGGTTCCTCAGCATTGATGGTAGAGATTTGATTCTTTGCAACTATCTTTGTGAGAGATTCCATCTGCTTCTACAAACTCTGTTGACCAGTCAACAAGATGTCAAGTCTATCCACTTGCAGAATGCCTCTTTTGGAGCTAGGTACATCCTCATTTTCTTCAGCAGCTAATTCTTCAATGAGTTGTAAAGATGCAGCCGGATCTTTGTTTACAAATGATCCATTAACAGCTGCATTCAGAAATTTTCTATCAGCAGGGCATATACCATGGTAGAAGAGCCTTACCTTATCTCCCGCTTGAAGAGCATATTGTGGGCAAGCGGTCAATAAGCCTTTGAATCTCTTCCAAGCCGCTCCAAAAGATTCACCATCATTCTGAGAGAAATGGTCAATCTCTCGCTTTTACTGCATGAACATAGAAAGAGTAAAGAACTTCTTTCTAAATTTAATCACCAAATCATCCCATGAAGTGATGCTTCTTTCCGGTTCATTCCTTAGCCATTCCTTTGCTTTTCCTTTCAGTGTAAAAGGAAACAGTATCAAACGGATAGCATCAGTGCTAACACCATTATGCTTGTGAAGACGACATAGTTCCAAAAATCCAGACACGTGAAGATTGGGATCATGGTCGTCTTCCCCTGAAAATTGATTACTCTGGAACAGCTGCAGGAAGGTCGGATGAACTTCAAAATTGTTGGCCTGGATTGGTGGAATGATGATGGCATCAGTGACAGGCTCAAATGATGTGTTGAGGAATTGCTCCATGGCATCCTCATTCCCTTCAGCCATAGTTGATGTTCCTTCTTGAAAGAGTGATCAGTTCACTCTTTCTTTTTCTTTTCGCTCCTTAGTGAGCCTTCTGTTCTCCCTTGCGATCTTTTCAATTTCCGGTTCGTAGAGCAAGTCATTTGAGTCAACTGTACCTCGCATAAACCAGAATTAAAAAACAGTAAGGGTAGAAATAAAAATAAAATAAAAAATAAAGGTCTAATCTTAAACTCCACAGTTACTATTATTATTGATTTTTAGTCCCCGACAATGGCGCCAAAAACTTGTTGCGAACACGGCAAGTATACCGGTCATACAAGTAATAAAGTGATTAAGTAAGAGTATTGTTCCCATGAGGACTAAATTCAAGCAATATTTTCACCGTTTTTATCTAAGTTAGACAAATCCAAAAAGTGTTTTCAAAGCTAACTAATATTTAATTAAAATTTAAAATGAAGATGACAGTAAAAGAAATTAAGTAAAAAGCTAATAAGAAATAAGAAGCGAGTTTAAATCAAGAATAAAGACTGTAGCCAGGATGCACTTCACCTCCGATCCTCCCTTATATTCCTATATTGTATTTTATAATTAACTAATTGGTTTGCTCAGACAATTTATTGTTTCCCTATAAAATAGTTGAACCTTAATGTCTTAGTGATTTTAACCCTTTAACCCAATCAGAATCCTAGTGTCCTATTAATCCCTCTTGAATTAAGCATTAAGCAAATGAATTAAAAGTCTGCAATCTATGTAAGCCTATGTCTAGGTAATGCATAAATTGTTATTCTACCCTTGTCCAGATTAAAATCCCAATTTGTCTATTGTGAGTCTCAACCCTCAAAGCCTTATAATTAGAGCGGCCAATTCTAATCAGAATATAGAAAAATTAACATAAGAAGAATAAAACAAACTAACAAATTAAATTATAAAAACAATGCAGAAAATATAAAGGATTCACATCGGGTCCGTGATCCCAACTACAAAAAAAATTAGCCAGACATAGTTGGCTTAAACAAATTAAAATAATAAAAAAATTCATGAAAACAATAAAGAAAGAGTAAATACCCTTTTGGGTCCCTAACAAAAAACACGGTCCCCACTTTAGTCCCTTACAAAAATAAATTAGTCAGTTAGTCCCTAACAAATTCAAAGTGGACCCATTTTAGTCCTTTTGAGGGACTAATATGGGTCTTTTTTGAATTTTTGAGGGACCACGATTTTAACTAAATGGGTCCACTTTGAATTTGTTAGGGACTAACTGAAAAATTTATTTTTGTAAGGGACTAAAGTGGAGACCGTGTTTTTTGTTAGGGACTAAAAAAGGTATTTACTCATAAAGAAAAAGAAGAAGAAGATGAAAGATCAATGGTTTTTGTCCTTCAACTCCGTCGGAATCCTGATCTCCAGCATGAGCCTCCAAGAAGTCTCTCAAGCCACAAATTATTTGTCTTTGAGGTCTGAGTCTCTATTTATAGAGTTTGTGCCTTACTTAGAAATCTTGGTCAAATCTTCATCATATATCTAGGTGCAATCTTTCTCTGATACAATCTGGAATAAATTAAAGATTTTTTCGTACTTCCAATTTGGCTTCTTTTTGTCCTGTTTTCTTACAAAATTATAAGAAAATCAGTTACAAGATATGTGATTGAGATTTATCAATTTAATAGTAATTCTAGCCCTTTTTATTCAAGATTGATCAAGATTCTTTCTCTTTTTGGCTTAAAATCATATATATGATGGAGGCATATCATGGAGTAATGTGGAAGGAGGCATCAGAGTCAACAATTCAGGTGCAGTCATCATATGCAACATTTAAATAATTATCCTCATCAAGGAGGAATATCTCGGCATCCGAGTTGGCAGCCACCGCAGTGGTGCTCTTGTCTTCCCTCTTCTTGGAAATAATCTGATCCGGCTTCACAGAGCCGTTCTTCTCGTCATTCTGCAGGGTCCAGCAGTCTGACTTCTTATGACTTGTCTTTTCACAGTAGAAGCACTTCAACTCATATTTCACCTTTGACCGACCTCTGGACTTTCCTCGTCTGTCACGATCTCGACCCCAACTCTTGCTTCTACCTCGGGAGTCGGCTTTCCCTCCGTTCTCTACAATGTTGGCCTCAGACGTGCTCGAAACACCTCGTTCTCTTCTCCTGACTTCTTCGTTCAGGAGGCTAGCTGTCACGACATCCATCTTCAATTTTCCATCTAGAGTTGAATTACTCAAGGTCACGACCAGAGTATCCCAGCTTTCTGGCAGTGAGCTCAACAGCAGCAAAGCCTGCATCTCATCATCAATTTTCATCTCAGCCTTGGATAACTGACTCACAATACCTTTGTAGGTGTTGAGGTGTTCAATCATGCTCATACCGTCCTTGTATTCCAGCTTCACAAGTCGGCGAACCAGGTGTTCTTTGTTCCTGGGAGTCTTCTTCTGAATCATGGACTCCAGCTTCGTCCACAACTCATACGCGTTCGTGAACTCAGACACGTGCTCAAAGAGGCTCTTGTCTATGTATTTTCTAATTGTAGCTACCGCCTTACGACTCTGAATCTCCCACTCCTTATCGGTCTTGCCTGCCAGTCTCTCATCAAGGATAATGGGCTCATGTAAATCTTTGCAATAGAGATGATCCTCCAGCATCGGTCTCCAATAGGTGAAATTATCTGCAGTCAACTTGAACATATCTCCATCATGAGTTATGTCACTGGTCTCCATCTCGTCTTCCTCAGAACCCGTTGAACTCGGGCTCTGAAACCACTGTTGGAAACTCGGTTCCCTCAAGCTCGGCTAAGCAGCCTTTTACGCAGAAGTCAATCAACAAGATCTGAATCTCAGATCTTGGAAATTACCACGGCCTGAACTTCACCAGGTCGGCCAGCGCAGCGGAAAATCAAAAACGCAAATAGAAGAGAGAAGGAAAATACAAGCAGATTTTAACTTGAAAAAACCTTCTCCAATGAAGAAGTAAAAAACCCACGGGACCTAGTCCAGATCAAACGTCCACTATGTAAATAATGGATATAAAGAATCAAAATACATCAATGTGGTGGTTAACTCAATCTTTCCAACAATGGTGATAATCAAACTACCCTATAGATATTTCATTTAAACTCTCTCTAGAGATATCTCAAAAACAAAGTTCAAAGCTTTGCTCACAAATCACTCAAATAATTTTTCTCTCAAATCTATTCTCTAACCTAGCCTCCACCCACAACTAATGAATATATAAAGGAGGTGAATCTAGAGTTTAAGATTTAGAATTTTTTTTTTTTTTGGAAATATTCCATCGGTTCATCGCTTCGCGATTAGTCCGATTCGGGGCGAGTCCAGGATTAAGGCTTTAAACCCCTCCCAAAGGTGGTACTGGAGAGGTTCGAACACATGCCCTCACCCCCACCTGCTCAGCTCCCATGAAGATTTAAAATTTTTGAAAAATCTCTCAATGAACTTGGACTTAACATTGAAAGGAGAAAGTCCAACAGTTGGTACCATAGTTTTCCAATCGCCAACTGCGAGTGACGGTGCCCTCCAAGGATTAACCTTTATCTTCGATTTTTTCTCTAACAAATATCAAGTTTAATCTTCGATTCTCTCTCTAACAAGCATAGTGTTTAGAATCTTCATATCAAGTTTTTTTTTTCTCAATAAATATGCATGACCCAATTCAAATAAAACCGACCGCATCACCAGTGTACACCGATTTTATTACATGTCCGATTAACAATATAAAAATCGGACCAACAGTTTCCAAACCGGGCCAATTGATCCGAATTTTATAACACGGCTGCAAATTACTATTAGTTGTATAATTTAAAAAGTGATATAGTTATATACAAAAAAAAAGTGATATATATTTGAAAAAAAAAGTGATAAAGTTTTGGAAAAAAAGTGACGACTTTGCTTGCGTAGATTATGATCGAACGTAATGCATTATGGTATGGAGACCATAGTCCATGTATATTTGTATATGGAAAAAAGATATGTCATCTTAAATGACATATCTTACGTCTTTTTACTAATAAAAATATGAAATTCACATTTTTTTAAAAAAAATTTCATTTTTTTTAAAAAAATTTCATTTTTTCTTTCATGATTTATTTATTTCTCTTACTTAAAATAAAATAATTTTGTGTTCTTTAAAATGATACACACTAATCTGCACTTTCTTTCTCGTTGAAAATAATAACCTAACATCTACCATGCGCAATTATTGTAACCTGCTTTACTCTCTTGAATTTATCAGGACAGGATCCTTTCATATGTAAAAAAGATCACGTGATCATATTATTTGATTACAATCACTCAATGATGGTGAGATTCGAGAGAAAAAAAATATAATTTTTAAATGAATAGTTATGATCAAATAACATAATCATATAACTACTTTTACACATAAAAAAATCCACTCCTAAACTTACCACAATGCTTCACATGCTTTTGCAACTTTTGCTTCCATTCTTCTTCCTATTCCTAACAATAAATTATAAATGTCTCGTTCCCACCATTTTCCCGTTCACACCATTCTCTTAACATTAGTTCAAAAATTAGCAAAAAAAATAAAAATAAATAAAAAATAATTACAAAATAAATAATTATCTGCAATGAAATTCTAACTTAATAGTTAAATACTATTTATTCATTGACTAAGTTACAAAAATTAATAACACAATTATATTTACAAAATTATTAATTAAAGATTAATTGTAAATTAGTAATTAAAAATATATTACCAAAAATTAATCAAATTAATTATAGATTAATTACTCAATTACTAATTAAATGGTATTAACAAAAAGAACTTAATTGATTAACAAATGAATAAAATATTAGTTACAAATAACTCAACCTGATCATTGACCCGATCGAGATATTGGGTCACTGATTCAACCAGTAAATCACTGATTCAACCATATTGCTTGGTCAGTATATGTAAATTTATAATTTATATTAAAAAATTATAAATATACTTAAATACCTATACAAAATAATAAATAATAAATAATAAATCAAATACCTATAAAAATTAATATCAATTACAAAAATCGGCCGGTCTGCATCAGAGTACATCGATTCCATTACATATCTTATCCAATATGAAAACTGGATCAATTTACCGGCTTCTAGATCCACTTGGCCAGGTTTCATAATACTAATACAAATTACTCTTAGTTGTATAATTTTAAAAGTGATAAAGTTAAGGCTTTTTGACCACAGTAGCCCTTTATTAATAATTATTTACCAAATTGCCCTCGATTAGAAATTATTTCAAAAAATTAACCCTTCAAAAAAACATAACATCAATCTGCCTCTGTTTGACCGTTGACCACGAAACTTACCCGGGTACCCCACTTCATACCCGGGTATATTAGTGAAAAATCAACCCTACCCGAGTATGTAGGGAGTACCCGGATATTGTTCTTAAATCTGGAAAAATCTTGAATTATTTACCCGGGTAGGTTCAGTTTGTCTCAGAAATCCGTAACTTCATCTAAAAGTTCAGGAACTCTTTAAATTTAATGTACTCTTTATCACAAAGGCTTGAAGAGGTTATTACATCAGTATCCGTCAAGACTCTAAATATATGGCCTCTTTCTTCCAATTAAACTTAGGGAATATTCAACTAAGCTACATAAACTTACCAGCAGACAATGTGAGACTGAAAAAAAAAACAAGATACAGATGATTATTTTGGAGACTGTTGAGAATCATCTTTTTGCTTTTTTATTTGACCCAGTCACTGCAGCAGTTGCTGCTGCTGTCACGGAAGCTGCAGCTGCACCCATTTTTATGCCACCTGCAGCCTTCATTGCACCTGCTATTTTAGCAAATGCTGCTATGCTTCCAACAAGGATAGCTCTCAATGTTACTGTTGGTTTTACTGCCATATCTAAGACGAACTACCTGCAAAAATCAAGTCAAACTAATGCCACCTTCCAAACCAAATAAGTTCATGAATCATGACACCAACATAGGATGATCATGGCATGCCACAACACCGTGGCTCCCATCAATCAAGAACATGGATGCATGAAGTAATATATCAAGTCCAAAAAGAGAATTATGGAACTTCTCTTTCTATAGCATGCATTCTTGCCAAATATTTTAAACTGCTCAGATTAAGCTTTTGTGGAATGATCGGATCATTGGGATACCGGATACCCAAACCAAAAAAGAAACTCACATAAGACTTATCCCTTTCAGAAGCTGAAGGTCTTAACACAATACTAGAATTGATATCATTATAAAAACACATTCCACACGTTATGATAAATGATTTTGTTGAAATTTTGGTATTTGACAGACCACAATAGCATCAATGGATTCATGTGGCCAGCCCCACCTAGTGGGATAAGGATTGATTGTGGTTGTATTCCATCCATTCCCATCAAAGTGTTCAACCACAAGACTAGCATATACTTCACATTAGAGAAGCCTCTACAATTTGATATCCTAGATACCATACCCGGGTACCCCCATATCTACCCGGGTAAATAATTCAAGATTTTTTTTCAGATTTAAGAACAATACCCGGTACCCCCCTCCATACTCGGGTAGGGTTGATTTTTCACTAATATACCCGGGTATGGAGTGGGGTACCCGGGTAGGTTTCGTAGTCAACGGTCAAACAGGGGCAGATTGGTGTTATGTTTTTTTGAAGGGTTAATTTTTTGAAATAGTTTCTAATCAGAGCAATTTGATAAATAATTATTAATAAAGGGCTACTGTACTCAAAAAGCCATGAAGTTAAAGAAAAAAAAAAAAAAAGTGACGACTTTGCTTGCGTAGATTATAATCGAACGTAATGCATTATGCTACGAAGACCATAGTCCATGTATATTAAGTATATATATCTACACTTCCTTTCTCGTTGAAAATAAAAACCTAACATCTACCATTATCAATTATTGTAACCTGCTTCACTCTCTTTGAATATACCACAATGATTCACATGCTTTTGCATCCTTTGTTCTTCCTATTCATCCTCCCAGTGCTAATCTTTTTCCTCTTCCTCAAACCATCTTCGGAGAAGAAAGCAAAAGAGACAGCTACAGTTACCCTCCCAAAAGCATACCCACTCATTGGTTCGTACTTAGCCATCAAAGCAAACGAAAACACAAACACTAACATCCAATGGTTATCTGATATACTCCAAATCTCACCAGCTGCCACCTTCACCCTCCACCGCCCCTTGGGCCGCCGGAAAGTCATCACCGGCAACCCCGCCACCGTACAACACATTCTCAAGACCCGTTTCTCCATTTACCAAAAGGGCCACATCTTTCTCGAAACCCTGTCCGATTTCCTCGGAACCGGAATCTTCAACACCAACGGCGACAACTGGAAGTTTCAGAGACAAGTCGCCAGCCACGAATTCAACACAAACTCTCTGCGGAAATTCGTCGAACACGTGGTGGACACCGAGCTCTCCAACCGCCTCATCCCCATACTCACTTCAGCATCCCAAGACCAAAAAACCCTGAATTTCCAAGACATCCTCCAACGCTTCGCGTTCGACAACATTTGCAAAATCGCGTTCGGGTTCGACCCAGAATACCTTGCGCCGTCCGTTGAACGGAGCAAGTTCGCGCTAGCTTTCGAGGAAGCGACCGTGATCAGCAGCAAACGGTTCCGCGAACCGTCAGAGTTAATCTGGAAAATCAAGAGAAAGCTCAACATAGGATCTGAAAAACGACTGCGTATCGCAGTTTCAGAAGTACATGAATTCGCGAAGAACATAGTGAGGAAAAAGAAGCGCGAGCTGAAGGAGAAGTCATCGCTTGAATCGGTGGACATGCTGTCGCGGTTCTTGAGTTCGGGTCACTCCGACGAGGACTTCGTCACAGACATTGTCATAAGCTTCATACTGGCCGGAAAAGACACGACGTCAGCGGCGTTAACTTGGTTTTTCTGGCTGCTGTCGAAGAACCCGCGTGTGGAGAACGAGATTGTGAAAGAGATAAGGGATAAATCGGAAACCCCAGCGTACGATGAAGTGAAGGATATGGTTTACACACACGCTGCGTTGTGCGAGAGCATGAGGCTGTACCCGCCGGTGCCGACGGACAGCAAGGAAGCGGTTGAGGATGACGTTTTGCCGGACGGGACGGTTGTGAAGAAGGGGACGGTGGTGGTGTATCACGTGTACGCGATGGGGAGGTTGGAGAGTATTTGGGGAAATGATTGGGCAGAGTTTCAGCCCGAGAGGTGGTTAGAGAAGTTTGGTGATTCGGGAAAGTGGAAGTTCGTTGCGAGAGATTCGTTCAGTTATCCAGTGTTTCAGGCGGGTCCCAGGATTTGCTTGGGGAAGGAAATGGCTTTTATGCAGATGAAGAGGGTGGTGGCTGGTGTCCTCAGGCAGTTCAAGGTGGTGCCCGCGGTGGCGGAAGGGGTGGAGCCCAACTTCGTTTCGTTCTTGACGTCCCAAATGGAAGGTGGGTTCCACGTGAAAATCCTCGAAAGGCTTGCTTGACACTAAAACCAGTAGTGGAGATTATTAGTGTTTTGTTTGTTGTTGGAATTTGTGTGCGGAGGACAGTGGGGGCTGCACCTGCACCGCTTTGGGAGTGTTTTGTATCTTATGGCCAACGGCAATATACCTGCTGCTTGTATGGCCTATCTTTAAATTCATGCAATAATAATATGTTATCATCTTTTAATATAAAATAAAATAAAAAGTAAAAATAAAGACAAATAAAAGAAAAAAGAATAGATAAGTTTTCCCATAAACTTATCACCCTTCTTTTTATCAGAATACATTTAAGTTTTTTTAATACTTTTAGACACTCTTTTTATAGCCAAACTTCATTTCCTTCTCGACTTCTCAAATGAAAGGGGTGTTCTCAAACGCAATAACGAAAGGTGTATTGTCTGGTCCTCCCTTCCCTTTTCCTCCTTCCTCTCTCCTTCCTATTTTCTTTGCACAGACCACAAAGGCTGAGAGCTCTGAATATTGTCTCGTGTTCTCCAATGAGATCCAATAAAAGTTTGGTTGACATTGACAAGTGACAACACAAATTGAGTAATAGCTATTTGACAATAAAAGTCGGTTTACGTTGCAGAGTGTGTTAGTGTGTTTTGTTCTTAGTAGTAATAGTTTGGTTGACATTGACAAGTGACAACACAAGTTGAGTAATAGCTATTTGACAATAAAAGTCGGTTTACGTTGCAAAGTGTGTTAGTGTGTTTTGTTCTTAGTAGTAATAGTTTGGTTGACATTGACAAGTGACAACACAAGTCTCCCGCCTATTGTTATTCGTACAATAAAATTATTTTAAAATAAAAAACTTTTAAATTGCTTCCTTCAGAAATCATGATTTATTCAATTTCGTACTTCCTTCTTGTTTAACGGTGGTATGGCATGTTTTGGTATGTTCACATTCAGTATTTCATATTGAGGGAGGATATTTTGATTACTAAAAGTTTTCACTACCACCTTACTACCTATCGAATCACCATTGGATTAACATTTTCTCTCTCTTCAAATTTTTTTTAACATTCTCTCTCTTTGATCCAATGGTGATTTGATAGATAATAAAATAATAGTGGACACTTTTGGTAGTCAAAATATCCCCCCTCTTTCATATTATGTTATTGGCTTCAAGGTGATCTTTTTGGGTGCATATAATGGGGAAAAAAACTTTATTTCAGGGACAATTAGTGAAGAAAAGTTGGATAATTAAAGGTTTAAACGCATTTTATAAGAGAGGGATGGTGATTCCTTTTATCCAAACTCAAGAACCACATTTCAAAACAGAATGCTCTCATGCACAATGCATGTCAAATTTGCATTTCCAGTATCCCAATAACAAAGAAATTGTCGAGCTTAGGGTCTGATAAATAACTTGCTACTTTATGTCTTGCATTCTTTTTTAGTGTTTGAATGCCTTAAATTTTGAAACGGTAACTTATTTATTTTCTCCGTCTTACTTTATACATTTAAAGCCACTTTTGGCATACAAAAGTCAAAACCATTTTGGGACTTTAGCTTCATGTCTTCCTAGAGTTAGAGTGTTAAAATGGAAAGTTTTCTATAGGTAGCTAATAGCTCGCCAAATTTTATTTCTCTCTAACCTATTAAGTTTATTTTGTGATAAAATATTTTTTAACCTTAACCCCCAAAACTTTATGAATTAACGGGTTGGGTTGAGATTTATATGTGGGCCAAAAAAAATTATTTATCAAAATTCTTATTAATTTAAAAAACAAAGTATGTATATAAAAAATTTATAAGTTTAAATATTTATAAATATAAAATAAATTATAAAAATAATATAATAATAGAAATATACATTAAGTATATAATTATATAGAATGTATATATTATATAATAAATATATATATTTTAATGATTTAATACGAATTTTATATTTATTTTATTTGTTGTTTTGAACGATTTTAAGTTAAAGATATTTCTTTCTCTATTTATAATTATATTTTTATTCATTCTAATATGATATTTTCAATAAAATCAATTATCAAGTTAAAATATATATATAAATCTAATTTTTAAAAATACACTTATATAAAAATTTTAAATAACATAAAAGAGATAAACTTGTATTAAAATATGAATTTACATTGTTAGAGTCATCCAAATTTGAATCGTCTAAAATGTTTAAAAAATATTATTGGCCTAATAATTAATAATTAATATTGAGATGAGGAAAAGTGTGACATCCCTACCGTACGCATCCAAAAGAATGTTTGTTTAATTGTATTGGAGCAAGACATAAAATAAAATTTATTTAGATCAGTACTTTACCACAGAACAGTCATGGGTGCTAAGTTAACAAAGTTGTTCACTTTAAGAAATTTACCAAAAATTGAGTTTTTATCCATTTGTTACAAAGTTTAAATAGGTTAAAATAGAATTTTTGGGCTTTACAATGGTACAAATTTCGTGTGAATTGGAGGTTTGTAGCTCCAGAAAAGAATTTTCCAAATTAATGGGAAGAATGGCAAACAAACAGTATTACTGGGTTTTGCAATAAACGAAAGAAGGAAGTCAGCTACTCCAACAGTCTCCGAAGCACGGACTCGTCAGTTTTGGAGAAAATTGTGTGTCGGACACGTGTCGGACACGGACACGTTCCGACACGCTCTGACACGCGTGCGACACGTAGTCAAATTTTTAGGACACGTTGACTAGAGGGACACGCGATTTTGACCGAATCCGACACGCAGTCAACGTATTTGGACACGTTTTGAGACACGTTTTGGCATTTTCGTAAAAAAAAAATTACAATTTAAAAAAAAAATATTTAAAAAAAAGTTTAGAACCCTTTTTTGTTTTCGGTCTTCACTTCGTCACGACGCTGCTGCTACTCTTTTTCGTCATCTCTGACTTCGACCCGCCTCTCGCCTCTCGCCTCTCGCCTCCGACTCCTCTTCGTCGACACTCTTCATCACCATTATTTCTGCTTTCACCCAAAATTAGATTAGATCCGGATGAGTAACGAAGAGTGATGAAGAGTGAACTGCCGAAGGAATCCCAATATTCTCGGTTTTCTAACTAGATGGGACACTCAAGTGGAAAAGTGGAATTTGCCCAAGCTATTCAAATTAGATGGGACAGTTTTCTAACTTAGTTTTAGTTCCTCTTTTTAGTTCAGTTTCTAATATTGAGGACAAATTAAATAAGAGATTAATGTATTTTTAGGACATTTCAAACATATAAATTCAATTTATTTTGCTCCTTTTAAATATTTAATTAGTTACGTGACTTATTATGAGTTGTTATATGTATTAAATGAAAATTATGTTATATACATTAAAAATATTATTTAATATCAAAACGTGTCCCAGCGTGTCAAAATTAAACATTTTTTAGAATTAACGTGTCGGAGTGTCGTGTCGTGTTGTGTCCCGTGTCCGTGTCCGTGCATCATAGCCAACAGTCTTTCGAAAGGATACTCTTGCGGCTGAGTTAGTTAGGTATGAGTCTTACTTCTTGTAACATCCTCTATAATTAATTAGTATAGAGAATATCACATAATTTTCTAAAAATATATTTTAATAATAATAATAATTATTATTAATAATAATATCTAGGAAAATATATTTAGGAATATTAACTGGATATACTAACATCATTCATTATTTAACATGGATGTAAGTTAGTACATGACTTTTTTTTTTTGGTAAGCACAAGGGACTAGAAGCCCCAAGAAGAAAAATTACACACAAAAATCAGAAGTAGACGAAACTAAATTACTACTATCAGCCTAAAATAGTTGCACCAGTTCCTTGGGACGGTGCATGAGTACTTGGAGACCAGGAGCTCCTCTGAGTGCAGCCTTTGCGAGCCAATCTGCGCAAGCATTGTTCTATCTGTTGGTATAGTTAAACTTGACCTCCCAATCTCTTCTAACCCATCCTTTGATTCTACGCACCATATGACTATCATTTGGTTTTGTTATGGACCTGAGTGAGGCCCACACCCATAGAGAGCCCAAATAATACAAGCCCAAAGGTAAACACTAAAGACCACAGGTATGACTGATCTCTCTCTCTAACCCTACTTTTATGCAAGCACACAGCGCACACACACACCCCCTTTGGCTAAGGCCATCATACAGTGTGTAGTGATTCGTTGTCCCCAAGATACCTAATTCATAGGTATCTAGAGAGAAAGCACTAGATCCAACATCAATCATCTAACTTACGGTTAGACATCTTTACCTTAGGCAGAACATTGGCGTCGTCTGTGGGAAAAAGATTTCCTACGACCGTGTGATTAAAAAGTTACCAATCAAAATGGTGAGGACGACCAGAAGTGGTTATCGACAGCCCTCAAGGTCGAGTCCTGGGCACCATCTGATTCCTCCAATTAGGGAGGATCCATCAGGACTACCTGCCCCTCAGGATCATCAACAGCTGGACACAAAGTTATTAAACACGGACCGGTGATCGACCCGGTCGGGGTACCGGGTCAGTGGGTCACCGGTTCAACCAGTGGGCCACTGGTTCAACTGTATGAACAGGATATGTATATAAATTTATATTTTATACTTAATTATATAATAAATTTTTAAATGGTGCAAGTGAACCAAGAACCAAATGTAGCTTAATGGCAAATATACAATTTATATATACAATTTATATCTTCACAACAAAGGTTTGATTCCCACTAGATGTAATTTTTAAATAATTCTATTAAATGATATGATATGATATGATATATATATATATATATATATATATATATATATATATATATTAAATGTTGCATATTAACCAACAAACAAACTCCGCCCAGTGGTAAGTTGTTGTTCGGCATACTCAGGAAACTCGAGTTCAAATCCCAGCGGCTGCAACTTTGGAATTATTTTTTCCAAAATCGGTTTGAGTAATAAAATCGGTCCACCGGTTCGAAGATTAATACCGGTTGAACCGCGGATCACGACCGGTTCACCGGGTCAATACCGGTTCAATAACATATTCGGTCCGTTGCAAGAATCGGACCGGTTGATGGGCCAGTTCTCTCAACACTGGCTGGACACTGATGCGGTGCACCTCAGTGAGGTTCACTCTGATTCAGCGTCAACTCCAGCAGTTAATCCAAATGCCCCATATGTA